GCAGGACGCGACGCAGGCTCACGACGCTCAGCAAGACCTCCAGTAGGACCAGTGTAGGGAGAAGGAGCGGGCAGTGGGGAGGCCGGCTGTAACTGTGACTGTGACAGGACAGGCTGTGGACTCTCTAAGGGAGGAGGAGGGCCAGTAGAAGGCGGGAGACCAAGAACCTGCTGAAGGAGCGGAACAAAGTACGGCCGAGGCCGCGCGGCGACTCCAGACACAGCAGGGACAGCACCAGTACCCCAAGCGGCAGCACCAGCGCCAGCAACAACTCCAGCTCCAGTACCTCCAGCAGCACCAGTAGCACCCCCAGCAGGCCCGCCTCCAGGACCGACAGCAGTAGCCTCAGCGTCAACACCCTCAGCAGCTCCAGCTCCAGTCGTACCCGCAGGTCCAGCAGCTCCAGTACTCCCAGTACGAGCATCTCCGGGACCCGCGGCACCAGCACCCTCAGTAGCCGAAGAACCTCCAGCTCCAGCAGCACGCCTCCAGCGCCGGGCAAACCACTCGCGCAGCTCCTGTGGAGAGAGTGGCTCCCGCCGAGACGAAGCACCCGGAGAACCTCCAGGCTCAGCACCGCCAGACGCCACACAAGCAGGCCCAGCTCCCTCAGGCTCCACACCCCCAGGCCCAGCACCTCCAGGCGTAGCACCCCCAGGCTCAGCACCCCCAGGCTCAGCACCCCCAGGCTCAGCACCTCCAGTAGTAGCACCTCCAGGCTCAGCACCCCCAGGCTCAGCACCCCCAGTAGTAGCACCCTCAGGCTCAGCACCCCCAGGCGTAGCACCCACACGCTCAGCACCCCCAGACTCAGCACCCCCAGGCTCAGCACCCTCAGCAGCACCAGAGTCACCAGTAACCTCGACAGGCTCGACTGCGTCTACCTGGGACACACCTGAAGGGGCAGGACCCTGAGGGGGGAGGGGGTCTACCGGGGGGGGACCTGGCACAAGGAAGAGCGGTGGTGGGGGGAGGGACGGAGTGCAGTAGGGGAAGAGGCGGTAGTAGGGGACCGACTCGTCAAACGTGACGTCCTGGGAGGACAGAACACGGCGAGAGGTGGGGTGGTAGAACTGCCACCCTGGCGCGTCAGGGGGGAAGCCAAGGAAGACGCAAGGAGCAGCACGAGGGGACAGCTTGTCCGCAGACAAGTCGCGGACAAACGCCCGAGATCCCCAGACACGGAACGCAGACGCATCGCCAACCTTCCCCGTCCACAGCAAGGCTGGGGAGGTCTCCGGCATGGAGACCCTAGGGTGAAGGTTGATCTGATGCGCCGTGTACCGAACCGCAAACGGCCACAGAAAATGGGGGGCAGCCGCATGCATCATGGACGTACGGGCGACGTCCATGACCATGCCAATGCGGCGCTCAGCAATCCCATTTTGCTGTGGAGAGTCCGGAAGCGTGAAGGTCTGGCGGATGCCTCGTGCACGACAGTAGGCTCGCAGAAGGCCAGAGGAGAACTCTCCACCTCTGTCAGAGTGCAGACGCAGAACAGGAAAGTCCGAGCCGAAGCTCTGCCTGAGCTGGAGACGAGCTGCGCGGATCCAGTCGATCAACACCTCAGTGACATCACCCTTGCTGCGCAAGGGGAAGACTGTGGTGTAACGCGAGTAGTCGTCAACCACCAGCAGGAAGTAGCGCTCGTGACCCTGTCCACGGACGCGGGCCGGGCCCCACACGTCCATGTGAAGCGTCTGCAGCGGGGCCTCTGTCGGAGGAAACTGGGAGGAGTGAGGGGCAGCCCGCTGCCGCCCCTCGACACAGGGGACGCAGGTAGGGCCAGGCCCCAGAGGAAGGGGAGGGAGGGACCGGGGAAGACCAGAGACAAGGACACGGGAGGCCATGCCTCGGAGACGAAGCAGGGAGGGGTGACCAAGGCGGTGGTGCCAGAGGAGAGTCTCGTGAGACAGGAGGCGACACGAACAGGGGGCAGACTCAGGACCAGACCTGGACGCTGCAGCAAACACCTGACTTGACGCAGCTACCTGACCAGACGCAGTGACTGGAGGAGACGCAGTGGTCAGGGTGTACAGGCTCGACCCCGGCCGACGGGTAAACGTGGCCAGGTGTCGGCCAGTCCGAGCGTCCGTGCAGTGGGTCACCCGCTGACTCCCAGGAGTGAACTGGTGAACCCCCGCATCCTGTAGGTCAGCACCACTCACCAAGTTCGTAGAGAACGAGGGGAGGTAAAGACCAGACAGGGTGCCAGAGGGGGCCGCCGGACACGGGAGGACAGTGGAGAAGTGAGCAAGGACAGGACCCCCAGAGGGGTCTGCCAGAGAGACCGCAACTGGCCGGCCAAGCGGCGTGAGTGTGGTGCGGTCGCGAAAGAAGGAGCGAGAAGCCCCCGAGTCAAGGGTGAAGGTGTGGGAGGCCGAGGCCGACGCAGAACCTGAGAGAGCAGACTCACCAGCACCTGAGGGAGCAGACGCACCTAGAGCAGCAGCCTCGCTAGCACCTAGAGCAGCAGCCTCACCAGTACCTAGAGCAGCAGTCTCAATGCCCGGGTCGGGCGGAAAACACCGGTAACAGTCACCCTCATCACTAATAGTCACAGTATACATGGCAGCAAGAATAGCATCAAAGTCAAGGTCAAAGACAGCCACACCCGCCCTAGACAGCTCACCCCAGCGGGAGATCTCAGTGGCCTCAGGGAACTGGTGACGCCAAGCGTCCGTCAGGCGGCCAAAGCAGCGCTGGGTGGAGTGCGCACCCCCGCACTGCTCACCCGCGCGGTCGCCGGTGCGGAGGACGTAGGTGCACGGACCAGTACCCCCACCCCTCTGGCGTGCAGCGTACCACTCACGGAGCTGCTGAGGGGAGGGGATGTCACGAGTGCGCTGCTGCTGCTGCTGCTGCTGCTGGCGCTGACCACCACCGGAGCCGACTCTCTGCGCAGCGCCACCCCGACCAGCTCCACCTCCTCCGCCGCCTCCTCCTCCACCGCCGCCACCTCCGCTCCCACCGCCACCGCCGCCGCCGCCTCCGCCTCCACTGCCACCACCGACACCTCCACCCCCGCCACCACCCCCACCGCCACCCCCACCCCCTCCACCGCCTCCACCGCCGCCTCCACCGCTCCCGCTAGCTCCTCCAGTGCCCCTGCCCCCCTTGCCCTTGCCAGGGCGGCGTCTCCCGCTAGGGGTAGACGCCGCACCGACCGACTCAAGCCCAACGAGGTCGGCCGCAGCAGCAGAGGCAACAGAGGGCAAAAGGGGGGAGGGGGAACACCCCTCAAAGATGGGGGTGCGAGGGTCACCACGAGAGGCTCCTACAGCTACTATGCTCTTCTCTGCTGCTAGGAGGGACTTCTCGAGGAGGTCAACGGTGAGAGTGGTGGGGCAAACAGAGAGGAAGTGGTCCCTGACTACGCGAAGGGAGTCAGGGAGCCGGGTGACTATGTAGTAGAGGGTGATGTACATGGGGGGGGGGTTCTTGGCGCAGAACTCTGCAGGAAGCGCAGCGCGGTAGCGAGTGTCACTAGTGCGGAGGTGCGTAATGAGGTCAGCGACTGTGGGAAAGGCAGCAAGGTCTGTGAAAGGGGCGCTGCTCTTACCGGACAGGGCGGCTCGGGTGGCTCGGCTGTAGTGCGGCTCGGCGGCTCGGCTGCTGGGCGGCTCGGCGGCTCGGCTGCTGGGCGGCTGGGCGGCTCGGCTGCTGGGCGGCTCGGCTGCTGGGCGGCTCGGCTGCTGGGCGGCCCGACTGCTGGGCGGCTCGGCTGCTGGGCGGCTCGGCGACTGGGCGGCTTGGTTGCTGGGCGGCTCGGCGGGGCCGCTGAGAGGGCGGCGTCCGGGGCCGCTGGGAGGAGGCGGCGGGGCCGTTGAGAGGAGGCGGCGGGGCCGCAGGTAGATGGCGGGGCCGCTAGTAGGTGGCGGGGCCGCATGTAGGTGGCGGGGCCGCTGGTAGATGGCGGGGCCGCACAGGCAAGTGGCGGGGCCGCGGAGGTAGGTGGCGGGGCCACACAGGTAGGTGGCGGGGCCGCGGAGGTAGGTGGCGGGGCCGCACAGTTAGGTGGCGGGGCCGCGAAGGTAGGTGGCGGGGCCGCACAGGTAGGTGGCGGGGCCGCGGAGGTAGGTGGCAGGGCCGCACAGGTAGGTGGCGGGGCCGCGAAGGTAGGTGGCGGGGCCGCACAGGTAGGTGGCGGGGCCGCGGAGGTAGGTGGCGGGGCCGCACAGATAGGTGGCGGGGCCGCGAAGGTAGGTGGCGGGGCCGCACAGGTAGGTGGCGGGGCCGCGGAGGTAGGTGGCGGGGCCGCACAGGTAGGTGGCGGGGCCGCGAAGGTAGGTGGCGGGGCCGCGTAAGGTGGCGATGGGCGCGACGGGCGCGACGGGCGCGACGGGCGCGACGGGCGCGACAGGCGCGACGGGCGGGACGGGCCGAAAGGGCGGCGCGAAGGGCCGTAGGGGCGGCGCGACTCGGGCCGGAGCAAAACGCGCTCCGGGCAAGAAAAAAAAAAAAAAAATCGTGGTGGTTGGCCCTAGGAATCGTTCCCACTAGGGAACCTGCTCGATACCATGAGAAGAAACGAGGAATGAATTGACTGAGGGAAAGTTGGGTACAAAAGCAAACCCTAGAAAACTGTACCCCATATGTGCTTCCCCACTATAGCCTACAGTAGCTATGTCATATAAATCTGACAAACCTTGACTCTTTCAAGCTCACCACCAGAAACCTCTGTTAAACCTTTCCCCGCTCCCAAAGGCTGGAGCACGAAAACCGAACCGCCAGATATTCATACAACAGTCATCCACTACGATCGGCATTAGAACTCCAACCTCTGCTTGTGGATTTTCGAGTCGACTTAAAAACCAGACAGTCAGGCTGTAGCAGTCTCTGCAATTGGCACCAGAAGGAGGTATCCAGCCTTTGCTTGTGGATTCAAACTCATAGTTGGAAATTGGAGTAGCTGCTAACCTGTTAATACGCTTGAGCAACAGAGGAACGAGACTGTAAAATTGGCCCACCAGAAGGAGGTATCCAGCCTTTGCTTGTGTATGCCACGCCACACAAGATGGTGTCTTTTTCATGCCACCCCCCCCCCCCCCCCCCCTCTGCCTCTCATGTTACGCGTGCCACCCTCCCTTGTGCGCAGGTGGGGGAGGAGAGACGCCAAGGGGCGCAGCGGAGCAGCAACTGGGGGAGCAGATGCGGCAAGGGGCATTCGTATCGACCTCCCCCCCCCCCTCCTCTCTGCCGCTCTGCTTATGCATGCCACCCTCCCATCTGTGCAGGTGGGCAAAGGGAGAACCCAAGGGGCGCAGCGGAGCAGCAAGTGGGGTAGCAGACATACTCTGCAAGGCAGGGGTCATTTGAACTGACCTCCGACCCCCTTCCTCCCACCCCCCACCCCCCCCCCGTTCCCTCTGCCTCTCTGCTTATGCATGCCACCGTCCCATTTGTGCAGGTGGTGGAGGAGAGATGCCACGGGGTGCAGCGGAGCAGCAATTGGGGGAGCAGAGGCGGCAGGGGGATGGCGCGAAAGGGAGAGAGGGGAAAGAGGGTACGGAGAGAAGGGAGGGAAGGGAGGATGAAAGCGAGGGGAGACAGGGGGGGGAGGAGGAGAGGGAGGGGGTTGAGTTGCTGTGTGTGGTGCGAGCACTACTGAAGAAACTCAGGAGGAGGGTTCTAGTGGGGGACGTTGTAAGACTAGGTGGAATTGATTGGGCTGCCCGCCAGGCTGTGGTTCAAGACGTTGCCCTGCCCCGGGCATCTGAAATTTTGGACCCGCCCGTGGCGAACGCAGACCACCTGCTGCTGCTTTTTTCGCTTGCCCAGCCGCCGCCCGAGCCGACGAACGTGAGCCGGTTTCTGGTGGCTGCGGAGGCGACAGGTGTCGCCGTGTCATTGGTGTTCAACAAGGCGGATCTAGTGGATGAGCAGGTGAGGCTTGCTGGTGTGTGATGGGGACGCAAGGTGGGGCACATGGTGAGGCACAGGATGAGACACAGGAGGGCACAGGATGAGACACAGGAGGGCACAGGATGAGGCACGCGATGCTCTTTCTGTTCTGCTTCGCTCAAGCTCACCCTATAATCGCCTCCTGCCACTCTCACCGCCCTCAGTGTCCCCTTCCTCTGTCCCCTCTCTCCCCTTTCTCCACTCTCCTCCTTTCCTCCTCTCCCACCTCCCCTCCCCTCCTTCCCTCCCACCAGGCAACAAAGAGCAGCAAAGAGGGGGTATCCGATTTTTACATGCAGTTACCGCCTCACTCCCTCTTCCTTCCACTCCCCTTCCCTCCCATCCCCTCCCGTCTCCTCCCTTCCCCCTCTCCCCTCTCTCGCATCAGGCAGTGCGGTAGTGGCAGCAGCGGGCGGCAGAGTGGGGGTATCAGATGCTCACGTGCACTGCTTCCTGTAAGCTCACTCCCCCTCCTCCTCACCCTCCCCCTCCCCCCGGCTACCCTCCTTCTCTTCTCCTTCCTCACTTCCTCCTTTCAGGCAGTGCAAGAGTGGCAGCAGCGGGCGGCAGAGTGGGGTTACCAACTGTTCACATGCAGTGTGGAGCGGCGAATCGGAATACGCCACCTGGCGGGCCCGGGAGGGCTCCTGGCTGGTCGCACGACAGTAATTGCGGGGCCGAGTGGGGTTGGCAAGTCCAGCCTTATAAACGCTGTTTTGGGGGAGGCTTATAGCGGGGATGCTTATAACGGGGAGATTTGTGATGCAGATGGCTTGAAGGAGAGAGGGGAGGGAGAAGGTGGAGAGGCTAAATTTGAGGAGTTGAGGGTTGGGGAGGTTTCGAAACGGAGTGGGAGGGGGCGACACACAACACGACACGTGGCTCTTGTGAAAATACCAGATTTGACCATACAGGGAGACGCTGCTGCGACAATACCAGATGTGACTATAGAAGGAGGCGCTACCTCAATGGCACATGATGTGATTATACAGGGAGGCATGACGAGGCAACCAGTGGATGGAGATTTTGAGGTGCCTCAAAAGTTAATTGTAGAGGGAGACACGAGGCAACGAGTGGAGGGAGTGAGAGTACAGGAAGAGGATGCAGTTTACAGTCACAGCAGCAGTACTACCAACAGCAGTAGTAGTAATAGTAACATGACTAACAGTAATAGCAGTAGCAGCAACGATCTAAGCAGCAGCAGCAGCAGCAGCAGCAGCAGTGGCGGGTTGCTAGCAGATTCACCGGGATTCAGCCAGCCATCCCTTGCCAATGTGACCTGCTCCGACCTTCCCATGCTCTTCCCCGAGGTACTTAGACTGAGGCAAGGTGTGTTTCGAATCAAGGTGTGTTGTGAGTCGAGGTGTGTTGTGAGTCGAGGTGTGTTGTGAGTCGAGGTGTGTTGTGAGTCGAGGTGTGTTGTGAGTCGAGGTGTGTTGTGAGTCGAGGTGTGTTGTGAGTCGAGGTGTGTTGTGAGTCGAGGTGTGTTGTTAGTCGAGGTGTGTTGTGAGTCGAGGTGTGTGTGAGTCGAGGTTGTGAGTCGAGGTGTGTTGTGAGTCGAGGTGTGTTGTGAGTCGAGGTGTGTTGTGAGTCGAGGTGTGTTGTGAGTCGAGGTGTGTTGTGAGTCGAGGTGTGTTGTGAGTCGAGGTGTGTTGTGAGTCGAGGTGTGTTGTGAGTCGAGGTGTGTTGTGAGTCGAGGTGTGTTGTGAGTCGAGGTGTGTTGTGAGTCGAGGTGTGTTGTGAGTCGAGGTGTGTTGTGAGTCGAGGTGTGTTGTGAGTCGAGGTGTGTTGTGAGTCGAGGTGTGTTGTGAGTCGAGGTGTGTTGTGAGTCGAGGTGTGTTGTGAGTCGAGGTGTGTTGTGAGTCGAGGTGTGTTGTTAGTCGAGGTGTGTTGTGAGTCGAGGTGTGTTGTGAGTCGAGGTGTGTTGTGAGTCGAGGTGTGTTGTGAGTCGAGGTGTGTTGTGAGTCGAGGTGTGTTGTTAGTCGAGGTGTGTTGTGAGTCGAGGTGTGTTGTGAGTCGAGGTGTGTTGTGAGTCGAGGTGTGTTGTTAGTCGAGGTGTGTTGTGAGTCGAGGTGTGTTGTGAGTCGAGGTGTGTTGTGAGTCGACTCAAGATTCACCGGGATTCAGCCAGCCATCCCTTGCCAATGTCTCCGCCTCTGCTCTTCCCATGCTCTTTCCTGAGGTACCCTTCTGATTTGATTTTTTTTTTTCCATATGATAACCTCCCAATAGTTTGACTCAGTTGTTTTCTCCTCCCACCTCCCCATGCTCTTTCCTGGGGTACTGCCATTCTGCATGTCTCTATTCTTTCCTCCTTCCCTTCTGCTCCCGTCCCTAGCCTTCTCTCTGCCCATCCTTCACTCTCTCCCATACTAATCTCTCGCCCATCCCTCTCCTTCCTCCTTTTTCCCCTGTCCCATCCTTCTCGCTCGCCCGTCTTTCTCCCCTCCCTTCACCCCTCTCCTCCCCTTCCTCTTCCTCCTTGTCTCCAAACGTGTCCGTTGAAGTTTGCACTGTGATCCCTTCGGAAATTCGCACACGCCCCGCCACAACCCCTACCACCAGTGCATTTGGCGATTCCCTCTTTTTTTCCCCTTATTCTTCCCCCCTGCCTCTTTGCACCCCATCCAAAATCTTCAACAACACAGATTCGTTCCTGTCTAGCTGCCTCCCCACCTCCTGCGCATTCAGATATTCCCTCCTTCCCCCCCACTTCCTTTTTCGTCCTCTCTGCCCCTTTGAACTCCGTCCCATTCTCCCAACAACACAGATTCGTTCCCGTCTAGCTGCCTCCCCCACCTCCTGTGCATTCGCCGACTGCCGCCACATCAGCGAGCCTGGGTGTGCGGTGGACAGCGGTTGGGAGCGGTACCGGCACTATGTGATGCTGATGGACGAGATCAGAGCGCGGGAAGCAGCAGAAATCCGGGCCGTTGGTACGAAGAGGGAGGGGGATGTGAGGTTGAAGAGTGGGGGGTATGGGGTGGTGGTGGCAGAGCCGAGACTAGAAGCAAAGAAGCATCGGAGGGAGTCTAGAAAGAAAGGCAAACAGCTGCTGCTGCAACAACTGGCTGTGGAGGAAGAGGAGGATGAGGAGGAGGGAGTGGGGTTTGCAGGAGGGTATGGGGGGAGTGAGAAGAGGCGGAAATAGTGACGCTCTTTTCTTATCTGAGAGCCAAGGCTAGTCTGGGAGGTGGGCATATTATGTGGATTTTGAAAACAAGCTCTGGGTGGGGCTTGAGACGAAGAAGCACCGAAGGGAGTCGAGAAAGAAAGGGAAGCAGCTGCTGCTGCAACAACTGGCTGTGGAGGATGAGGAGGATGAGGAGGAGGAAAGAGTGGGGTTTGCAGGGGGGTATGAGGGGAGTGAGAGGAGGCGGTGAGATAGAGGAAGATAGGCCGGTGCAGCTGGGGGACACACTGGAGGAGGGGTAGGGGTCTGTAAAGGGGATGGGGGAAGGGGTTACTGAAAAACCGGTTACAATGCAACTAGATGCTGTTGTATTTGCTGCTGAGTTCATGCTTGTCCACCTACTTGTACCATTGTATCACCGATGAATACAAAGGACCGTTTGGAAGAGTGATACCGTATTATTCCGGCTATAAGACCTGCCGGTAAAAGGGTCCCCCGGGACTCTCTATGGGGTACTGGGACTCTTATTTTGGTACCAGAATGTGAGGACCCCCTTTTGCCCCTTAACAATATAAGACCCCCCTTTTACATACTTTAGTCGCAAATGCAATTGCGCGTCAGCTTTTATAGGTATACTGAGACGCTGTATGTGTCAGATTTCGATTCTGACATGTTTTTGTGTGTCAGACGCGAATTCTGACACAAATCCCCCCCCTCCTTAAAACGAACAGTACATGGTAAATCCCATAACATTGTTAGACAAATAAGCACACCCGGGTCTTACCGTATGGCCCCGGATATAGGCGCCGTCCGAATAAAGGCGCCGGCGCTTCTATCTGGAGCATGGCGCTTATGGCCGGAATTCGATTATAAGCGCCCCCCCTGTAAAACACTGACATATTATAAGCGCATGCAATTTTTATATTTCAATGCTGATTGAAACGGTAACGAATTTCCAATTTTGTAGCGAGTCAACACCCCCATTTGTTAAAAGCCTAGCTCAAGCTAAGAAGCCATAGCTAGGGTTTGGGGTGTTGAGAGTAGCGAGAGGTGAGTTGGCCAAACAAAAGAGGGGTTTCACTATAGAGTGAGCAGTACAAATAGGAAAATAGCAACACAAGGAGAGGTGCACCACCTAATAGGAAGGATGACTACACTAGATTATGCTACAGGCAGTTAACACAAATATAAATTATTTGACACACCCCCTAACTGCCTGCAGCAAATAATCATGTGCAGAAACACCCCTTGAAGGGGTACACCAAGTGCAGCGGAAGAAGGAGAGGGCAAGTGAGGAGGAGGGACCAGGAGAGAAGAGGAGGAGGTGGGCGGCCGCTGAAGCTGCTGGCACACGACGCAAACTGGAGTGGCGCACGAACAACTGGTGCAACTGGCACACGGGCAACCGGAGTAACTGGCTCTGCTCGCCGGCAAGAGCAACTGACCCACGGGCGACTGGAGCAACTGGCACACAGGCTCCTGGCGCAACGCCTCACGGGCGACTGGAGCTGCAAACTTCACGACGGCCACCCCCCTTCAACCTCCCCCCTTCTCCCCAAACCTCCCCCCACAGCAGCAGAAGTGACAGAGAGAGGCAGGGCAGTCAACAAGTGCATCAGAGATGCGCAGCGGATACACAGTAAGAGAATAACACAGAAAAAAGAGGGGTCCCTCCTGCCAACCCCTCACCCTCCCCCCCCACCCCACTGCAGCAGGAGCAGCAGGGGGAGAGAGGAGAGGTGGAGGGACGGCTGCTTTCTGGTCACCCCCGCCACCCCCTCACCCTCCCCCCCCACCCCACTGCAGCAGGAGCAGCAGGGGGAGAGAGGAGAGGTGGAGGGACGGCTGCTGGTGTGTCACATCCGCCACCCCAACACCCTCCCCTAACCCCCTTCACGGCTGCCCGAGCAGCAGGGAGAGGGAGAAGGCGGGCGGCGGCGTAGCACAGCAGCAGAGTGGCGTCAACCACCCTCGCCCCCCCCCCCCCCCCCCCCCCCCCCACCCTCACACCTTCTTCCACAGCGGAAGCCACAGCGGCGGGCGTGGTCGGCGTTGGCGAGATCGCGGGTAGGGGGGGGGGTAACGGGGGGGTGCAACAGGTGCCGCGACGAGCGCCTTCGCACAGCTCGCCGTCGCTAGCGTGGCAGCTGCAGTCGTAGCAGCCGCATGTTCGACGGGAGGGCGGGGCAGGGGGCGCGTTTGGCGACTGAAGCAGCCCGGCCGCCTCCCCCCAAAGCGACCGTCGATGCAATCGCTCGGGGCCGCGACAGGGCGTGACGAGGCTGCAGTAGGGCGCGATGGGCAGGCGACGGGGCCGACGAATGGGGCCGCGACGAGCAGCGCCAAGCTCGCCACGCTCGACTTCGCAATTTTCACGACGAGCGGCTGAACGGGCACAGCTGGGGCCGCGACGAGCGCCATGGCAGGAGCGATATGCGGTGGGCCCATGGGAAAAAAAAAATCAGGTCCTAGGATAGGAACCACTTTGATAACATGTTAAAAGCCTAGCTCAAGCTAAGAAGCCATAGCTAGGGTTTGGGGTGTTGAGAGTAGCGAGAGGTGAGTTGGCCAAACAAAAGAGGGGTTTCACTATAGAGTGAGCAGTACAAATCGGAAAATAGCAACACAAGGAGAGGTGCACCACCTAATAGGAAGGATGACTACACTAGATTATGCTACAGGCAGTTAACACAAATATAAATTATTTGACACCATTTTCACTTTGTTTAACTTTCGAGGACCTACTGGTTGCGCGTCCAGTCAGTATGAGTTGGCACGCGGGCAAAATGATGTGTCAAAGCTCTGTGCACCGTCAGAAAATCGCTCTCGCGCGATTCTGATTCTGGACCCTGTAAAATTTCGATTCGATTCAACTTACGAGACTGAAATGTACATTTTGGTGCGTTTAAGTTGTATTTCTGTATTTGTCGGTTATATAAGCGCCGGCGCTTATGGCCGATATTCAATTACAAGCGCCCCCCTTCAAAAAAACTAATTTTATTATAAGCGCATATGCGCTACTATCCGGGGCAATACGGTAAAAAAATGCATGCCAACTATATGTCCACCCTAGCATTTTTTTCTGCATTTGTAGAAAGTCCCCCAGGCAGGGCCTCGGATATCAGGAAAAAAACCATGAAATTCCTGATTCTGGCAGTCCATTCTCAACCTACCCTGAAAAACCAGTGTTAAGATTTTTGTGGGACTGATCTTTCAGCCTTTTTTGTGAGGCCACACTGAAATTTCAGTTTTTTTTTTTTCCAAGTACACTGATGCCACAACGTTGAAACGAAACTAACACTGAAAGCGATTCTTACCTGTGTCGTGTGGATTTGACCGCAATTACAGGGAATCTCAGATTCCTGTGGTGTAGGCACCGCGGGGCGAGACGAACCTGTGAAATTTTGCCTAAAATTCATGATTGAGAGGTGCTTTGTTGGCGCGGCGCCACACATCATTGGGCCGTTTTGCTGCAGCATCTTTTCTTGGCCAATCCGAACGTGGCCAGTGGCCACCATGTGGTGCTGGAGGGCTGCCAACGTTCCTGCCCCGTTGACAACCCAGCCCATGCACCGTGGTTGCCATCCAAGGGCCCCTTCTTCTCCAAGCTTTGTATCCGAAGCTGGGTTTCCCCTTTTCTTCTAAGTGTATCACCAAGAGGCAGCCAGCCGTGGCTTGTGCTTTTTCTGGAAACAATCCCTCTCGTTGTCGCTAGCTTAGATGTGAGGCCGTCCCCGCTGCTTACCATGGTGGAACACCTTGACGGCACGGAAACAAACGGCGAACACGGCGGTCAGGCGCATCGTCAGCCGCCTGTAGTCCATTCTGAAGCAGTTACGGGCCTCGATTTATTGTTTTCGAGCATAGCGGAAGTCAACGACAACGAGAAGCCACCAGATCCCAAGCCGCCCGACAAAATCCCGTTCGAACACATCGATGAGGAGGGTTGGTGTGCATCCCCGACAACGCCAGTCACGGAGCCGGACAGCTCGCCGCCTCCAGCTGAAAAACTGGCTCCCGAACCCGTGACCAAGAAATCCAGCCGATACATGCAGTCAACGCTGCCATGGTTTACAAAGGGCGCTGACGACGGAGCTACCCCGCCTTCGCCAGCCGACCAACAGTCGTCGCCCGTGATTGCCGGCCCACAGGAGTCGCCATCGGTTCCTGGTCCTTCTAAGCAGTCAGGACGCGACGCGATTTACGGTGAGTCTCTGTATAAGTACAAGACCGAGTGGCTAGACAGGTTTCCGTGGTTCATTCTTTTGCGGCAATCTGACGGTCTCCCAGCTTTCAAGTGCTCTATCTGTACCGAGCATGCAGGTTACTCTAGAAAGTGCGGGAAGGGCGGGAGGGGCGCGTCGGACGTACAGACGCAGGCTTTCAAGAGGCATGCTGCAACAACGAAGCACAAAGAGGCGGTCAAGCACCAGGAAAGCTTCTTGCTGAAGCTGGCCGGCAGCCACGGATCAACGGTGACAACCTCGCTCGCGACACCGAGAAGGAACGCGTCATCGCGCTGTGCGACTCTCTGCTCTTCGTAACCAAGCAAGATGCACCCATTGAGTTATGGGTGAATCTTGTTCGCTATCTCGCAGCGAAGAAGGTTCCGGGATTCCCCGCGAAGGGATACGGAACCTATTACACAACGTGAGTACCTGCTGTCAGATATTGTTCATGATGTTGCTTTTGTTTACCTTTTGTGTAAGCACTAACATTGGCTCACATGCTCCACAGGTACGGCTTTGGGCAACTAACACAAGCGATTGCCACGTGGTTGCACACAACGCAACTCCAGCACCTCCTTACAAGTCCTTACATCGGAATTACATGTGACAAGAGCACGGACAGGTGCCGGGGAAAGCACATGATCATATTCGTGACCTTCATCCGGGAGAATCGCGTCGTCACCGAGTTCCTTGCCCTTCTGACCGCGGAGAAGTGCGACGCCGCCTCTCTACTCTACGTGTTTGTGTCCCACCTGCAGGCCCTCGGCATCGAGCATGCCAAGATCGCTGGTATGAGCACCGATGGCGCGAGTGTGATGATGGGAAGCAAGAATTGTCTTGTCGCTCGACTGCGCCTCCGCATACCGCATCTCGTCTCAAGCCACTGCATAGCCCACAGGTACGTTTGCTTTTGTACTAGCACCAATCCGGATTATCCGTATCTCGGCCTTGCTGATACCCAATGTTGCATGTTTGTATTGTGATGTGCCTGCAGGGAGGCCCTCGCGGCAAAAGATGCAGCGGATGCAATCCCCGAGTTCGACATGGTGGATGGGCTGATCCGTCAAGTCGCAGAGTATCTCGGCCGTTCCAGCCCCTGGCACCAACGATTTTTGGAGCTGCAGGAACTCTTCACGGCTACAAATCTGGAGCTTCAAGGCATTCATCAAGTCCGCTGGTTCTCCAGGGGTGATGCCATTCTGCGAACGGTGGCGGTCTTCCCTGCGCTCATCGTCATGCTGTCTGAGTGGGACGAAACTCTGTACCAGCTCGCCACCAGCTACAGGTTCCATTTCTTGTTGTTCTTCCTTGCAGACGTGCTCGAGCAGCTGAACATCTTGAACAAGTCCTTCCAACAGCGAGAGGTGAGCAACAAGTCCTTTCAGCGTGTGCTGCACTTCTCATGATGTCTAGTTCTTGTATGCGCGACTTCTTTGCGTGTATGTCAATGCATTTATATTGTGGGAGCTTAAGCACAACACATATTGTTTGATAAATCACCCCCATGGCTCGCTTTCCTTGTGTCCCTCTGTGTTATTTCTGCCGCCCTCTCATAGCTTGACATCGCAGGTGTCCATGCGCAGATCAGGAGAACCATGTCTCACCTGGAGACCCGCTACGTCGACTGCGGCGACGATTTTGGAGGCGGGTTGAGTGCGCGCCTGTCCCCGTTCATCTTGAAGTACGGGCCTGACAGTGACAAGCCCGAGGTGACGGTGCAGGGTGTGGACTCTGACGGTCGGCCGACTACACACAAGTTCCAACTGCATGAGAACCCAAGCGAGGACTACCCAACTCAGGGAACACATGACGCCTGCGTCGATCTCTGCACAGCATTTGCCGAGACGCTCGTCAGTAACCTCAGCAAGAGGTTTGAAGACTTGGACAACCTGGTGGGAGTGAGGCTCTTCATGCCAGACGAGTACCCGCCTGGGAGAGCGGAGCGCCACAAACAGTGTGTCGAGTGGCTCATGTCACTCGTCTCACTGTTCAGGGCACAGGAGACTGACCACATCCTTCCAGGTACTCGCATTTTGTGCACCCTTGTTGTCCATGATTCTCTTTGTTCCTATGTTTCAACAGTGCCATGCATACACGGGTATACCATGCCAAGCCACCCAATCTAACTGACAATTTCCCTTCTGTTTTGTGTGGCAGGGATCGACAAACTGCGGGCGATGAAAGAACTGCGTGCCTTCTGCCCTATCATCGCAGGTACCCCGAATAACGAGCGAAGCTTCCATGCCGGGCTAACAGCGATGCTGAAGACAAGCGATTGGACGACTAGCTACCCCAACCTCGTGCGTCTCTGGGTGGCTGTCGCAGTGCTGCCGCTGAGCACAGTGGAATGTGAGCGCGGGTTTTCCCGCCATAATATCATCAAATCGTGGCAGCGTGGGAGCCTCAAAGACGCTCGGCTTGAAGCTCGTCACGATGTCGCTCCTCGACTACGAGCCTGACTACAACGAACTGGTGAAAATCTGGCGCAGCTACAAGAAGCGCCAGCCATTTGGCAATGTGGCAGCACCTCCAGCAAGAGAGGGGGAGGGAAGTGGCAGGGGAAAGGAGGCACTTGAGGAGTGGGAAGAACCAAAGGCGCAGGGGAGTGATGATGAGTCTGATTCTGATGCTGATACATGCATGACTCCTATTAGATAAGAGCAGCTGCTATTTTGTAGGAAGCTACTGTACTCCTGAATTTTAAATCAAGACTTTATAATAGTTTCAGCTTTTTTACTAGTGGAATTCTGATGGATCAGTCTCTTTTTTAGCACAACACTGTCATTTCAGGCTTTTTTTTTTTAGGAACACTGTCAATCAGAGTTTACACACAAGGGGACCCTGAAGGGTATACGACCCTAAAAGTGAATCTGAGGCCCTGCCCCCGGGTCCTATAGCCGGAATAATACGGTATTGCCTTGGGAAGTGGGGGCAGGGTTTGAAAGTGAGGCAGTGAGAATGATACGGCTCTTGAAGGCTCAGCCGGTGGAATGGGGGGTTGACCACTGGCTGGCGTACTTTGGGAGGATCTTTCAAAACAAGCTTTGGGTGATGCTAGTGTCAGAATCCCAACCACTAGACCATTGGGATCAAATGGTTTATTAAGTAGCGGGTAAGTGCGCACATAACCCCCCAGGACAACGAGCCGTAACCTTTCCCTATGATCAATCGGGGATCACCAGTGGACCTCTGACACCCCCCCCGCATTGGGATGCCCGAAGTGCACACACTACAAGATTCGAACCCGAGACCTTTGCTCTGATACCATGTCAGAATCCCAACCACTAGACCATTGGGATAAAGGGGCTTATTAAGTAGCGGGTCAGTGCGCCCATAACCCCCCAGGACAACGAGCATGTAACCCTTCCCTAAGATCAATCGGGGATCACCAGTGGAACTCTAACAGCTAGCGGTGGAGAAGCACTGGAGGGAATGAAGGAAGGATGAGGAGAAATCATGGAGTTAACACTTGCAGGAGAGTGCAACGGAGTGAGATGAGTCAGTGGGAGAGTGAGAGAGAGGCCAACTAGGGCGTCCAGGGTTGGCTGAGCATCAGCCGCTTGTAATTCTTCTTAACCCGCTGAGTTCAGAATCAGAGGTGTTATGGATTTATTCGCCTTGAGTTGATTACGTAATGAATACTTTTTGGTACGAATATATAAAATTGGTCATCTTGTTTGTGTAACGTGGTGCTGTCCTGTCCAGTGCAGTGTGTTGCAATTCTTGATATGGTCCTCTTGGTAAGAATAAAAGAATCCAAGGAATCCACCATACCCTTAGTGGGATTTCACATGTGAAATGCTATATACAATTATGAGAAACTTAGCGAAACAACATTCCCGTTGGTTCCAATCAGTAAACAACACCATATTGTACCGTACGGTATGGTTATTATTCACCAAAAAGTGGTGTAGATTCGACGCTGTTGCCGGGACTCGCAGTTCTTTTACTCCCTTGAATCATAGGGCTGTCAATGCCTGTACCATTCCCGATGCTACTAGTGCCAACGCCACTGGTGGTGGGAGTGGTGGTGCCGCTGAGATGAGTGTAGGAGGAGGGTGAGGAGGAGTTGGAGTGAAGGATAGGTTCAATGTTTTTGTTGTGGTGCGAGGGGGGCACCACCAGGGTGGCACCTGCAGTGGTTGCAAAGGAAGGGGGGGATTCGGAAGGAAGGGGAGCAAGATGAAGCATGCAGAGGAGAGATAGTGAAGGGGGTCAAGGAAGGGGCAGGGGAGCAGATTATTGGTTGAATGGTCTGGTTGTGGTGAGAGGGAGGCACCACCAGTGTTCCACCTGCAGAGGTCGAGAGATAGAAGGGCTGGGAAGGAAGGTAGGGTAAGCTAGATGACGCATGCAAGGGGGGGATAGTGACAAGGGGTGAGGAGGAGGTGGAGTGGAGGATGGGTTGAACTGTGTGGTTGTGGTGAGAGGGAGGAAGCACCAGTGTTGCACCTGCAGAGAACAGATAGAGCACGGAAGAGAATTGGAAAAGAAAAGTTAGCAAGCTGAAATTGTGCAGGAAGGGGAAGGGTGGCAGCAGTGGAGAGTGAAGGGCGAGATGAAGCAGAATGGAAAACCAGAGGATGGGTTGAATGGTTTGGTTTTGGTGAGATGGAGGCACCAGCAGGGTTGCAATGGCAAGAGAATATAGAGCATGGAAGACGGGAGGAGACTGGGATACATGATAGCGCTTGCAGAGGTTGCAAAGGACGGGATTGGGAGTGCAGATATGGGCGAGTGAGGTTACCATGAGCCCATAAGGCAGCGGCAGGCAGCAGCACGGCAGTGAATATCCCCATGCTGATGCGCCAGTTGCCCACCGTGTCCTGTGCGCATGGGGGGAAGGAGACATGGGAGAGGGAGTAGAGAGGGGAATGGGAGGACGGGGAGGAGGCATGGGAGGGAAGGGATGGCACGGAGGGAGGGTAAGGGAGTGCTGGTCGGGGCACGGCAGTGAATATCCCCATGCTGATGCGCCAGTTGCCCACCGTGTCCTGTGTGCATGGGGGGTGGAGGGAAGACAGGGGAGGGTTGGAGGGCGGGAGGCAGGGGATGGGGGGGAGAGCGCAGGCGGTGGCAAGCGGCAGCAGAGGCAGTATACAAATGGGGAGGTGAAAACTCCGAGTCGACTCAAAACAACCACATGAAAGGGCAGCATATGAAGAAGCACCTGGGAATGATAAAAAGCATATGGAGGAGGCCAAAGATGGCAGCACCTGAAAAAACACCTGAGGGAAAAAAGGTACCTGAAAAAACTGTGAGAACTTGAGCTTAGAATGGATGAATTAGTAATGAGCTTGAAGCTCTTCAAGTACATCCAAGATGGGCAAGGAAAGGATGAGGAAGGGAATCAGGGGCAATCTCTAGGGATTGGGGGTAATCCCAAGGCAATCTCCAATTAGTGGGTTGGAGATTGCTTGGAGATCACATTTGGGTTTGGTTGGGATGTAGGTGTACACCCAACCAAACACAAAGTGCTAACTACACTACAGTAGGATATAAAAAGTGCAAGTACAAAATGTGAGATTGAGGGCTAACACTAACAAAAACAACTGAGAGCAAATGGCAAGGCACCTGAAGGAGGCCGAGGATGGGTGGCGAGGGCACGTCCCCTAGGAGGTGAGCGACAACGGTTGCAGCGGCTATTGCAAGGGCTCTGAGGTTGGATGGCACGCACTGCAGTGACACTATGTTGGCTGGACCCTGGTAGGTAGAGGTGAAAGGGGAGAGGGGGGCATGGCAGGATGAGAGAGGGCGATCAAGTAGGTACGATTGGGGACTCAGGATCTGGATGACGGGGACTGGATAGCACGCACTGCAGTGACACTATGTTGGCTGGACCCTGGTGGGTACACGAGAAAGAGGGAGAGACCCAAAGAGCACAAAGAGCACAAAGAGCACGAAGGGCACAAAGAGCACAAAGGGAGACCCAATGGGCACAAAGGGCACCAAGGGAGACTTAAAGAGAGCGAAGAGGGAGATGCATGGCAAGGTGAAGGTGATGACGACCACCACTTGGTAACCAGCTGTGTGGCTACCAACTTGCTGGTTACTGACTGGTTACCAGCAGTACCTGGATGGCACGGATGAAGAAATCCCCCCAAGAGCCATGAAGAGGACAAAGAGGGCGATGGAGGGAGGGGCAACGGCACTGGCTACCATATGCTGGGTTACCACCTGGTTACCACCTGGTTACCAGCGGGCTACCAGCTGGTTACCAGCAGTACCTGGATGGCAAGGATGAAAAAATCTCCCCAGGAGCCATGAAGAGGACGAAGAGGGCGAAGTGTGGAGAAGTTACCACCTTGCCACTCACTACTTGGTTACCAGCATTCGGGTTACCTCCTGGTTACCACCTGGTTACCACCTGGTTACCACCTAGTTACCACCTGGTTACCTCCTGGTTACCACCTGGTTACCTCCTGGTTACCTCCTGGTTACCACCTGGTTACCTCCTGGTTACCACCTGGTTACCTCCTGGTTACCACCTGGTTACCTCCTGGTTACCTCCTGGTTACCTGGATGGCAAAAATGAAGAACTCCCCGACAGCCATGAAGAGGACGAAGAGAAGGATGGACGGCGAGGCGAAGGCAAGGAGACAGAAAATAGCTCCCACCACTGTCACCCGGGATTGCAGCTGATGGGGAGCAGGGACAAAGCAAGGCGGGGGGGGGAGGGGGGAGGGGGAGAGGGAAAAGGAGCACAAAAGGAGGGATGGCGAGAGAGGTGAAGGCGAGGATGCAGAGGTGAAGGCGAGAGGTGAAGACGACTGCTCCAACCACTGTCACACATGCAGCCGACTTCTCCAACCACTGTCACACATGCAGCCGACTTCTCCAACCACTGTTACACATGCAGCCGACTTCTCCAACCACTGTCACACATGCAGACGACTTCTCCAACCACTGTCACACATCATTTAGTTTGCAGCTGGATGCAGAAGACTGTCACACAGGATTGCAGCTGATGGGTGGAAAGTTAGGGAGGGGGACATGGGAAGGAGAGGGCGAGAAGAGGGATGAAGAGGGATGAAGAGGACAAAAAGGGCGATGAAGAGGTATGAAGAGGGATGAAGAGGGATGAAGAGGCATGACGAGGAAAAAAAGGGCGATGTGTGGAGAGGCGGAGGCGAGGAAACAGAAGACGGGTCCCACCACTGTGACGGGGTTGCAGCTACGTTGGGGGGTTGGCGATCATGGGACGGAGAAGGAGAGTGAAGGTATGAAACAGTTTGATGGCTCAAAACAGCGACAGTGAAACACTGATGCATATATGCGTACATAGGTCAAGCCTAGGCCATGCATGCATACCCACCAGCAGCGCGTTGGAAATGGTTGCTCCCATGCGGTCGGGCATGAGACCGCCAATCAGTGGTGGTGACTATGGTGATACTTAAACGCACACATAGGCCGCAGAGCCTAGATGCATGCATACACACCAGCAGCGCGTTGGGGATGGTTGCACCCATGCGGTCCAACATAAGCCCCCCAAATAAGGTGCCCCCCATGCCAGTGACCACCGTGATGCCTCCAAACAGTGCATCCGCCCTCTCCTCGTGGAAAATCTCCCTCATCGCCTTGGGCGCCCAGTAGGCATACGCGCCAATCACGAAGGTGTAGGCCGCATAGCCTGGGGGTGAAGGGAAGTAGAGACAGGGTCGGAGTGCGAGTGAGGTGCCTGCCTCCCTCCCACCCAAACAGTGCATCCGCCCTCTCCTCATCGGATATCTCCCGCATGGCCTTGGGTGCCCAGTACGCATATGCTCCGATCACGAATGTACAGGCAGCATAACCTGGAATGTGGGAAGAGAAGGGAAGGGAATGGGAAGGAATGGGAATAAAAGAACCCTCCCTTGGTGCCTGGGACCTCCAATACACTTGCTGCCCAGAGGCACTTGCATACACTGCAACGGTGACTTTTGAGTCGACTCGAATCGAAAGTTGTCCAATAGGCTTAGGCGCTCACTAGAAAGCAAACACACGGCCTTATGCTGTTGAACATCCCATCTCCCACACTGCCTCACAATACCCCACCAAACCTCACCATACCGCACTGCATCTCACAGCACCCATGGTGTTCTATCAAGAGCACCTTCTAAAACTCATGCCATACCGCACTGCACCGCACAAAACCCATCGTACCGAGCACATTGATGGTGAAGATGTCGTTGCGAGCGAGGGAAAGCGAGTCGTCCAGCAGAGACCCGTCGCCATGCTTCAAATTTGGAGTCGCCTCAACATGTGACGACGCTGCCAGAGATGGTGCACCCTCCGCCCTCTCCTCGTCAGAAGCAGTGGTAGCAGTACCATGGGCGTGTGTCCTGCCTGTCCATGAGCACAGAAAGGGAAATAAGCGCTTGGAAATTTTTGAGTCGCCTCACCAAGTGGCTGACATGCGTCCTGCCTGCCCATGATACAGGAACGTCGCAAGAAAAAGCAGAGACGCATCGCCATGCTTGGATTGTAACGTCGCCTCAAAATGCCTCACCTTAAAGTGGCAGAGGGGCAGCAGTAGCAGTGTACAACACAGAGGGAACCATAAATACTGCTCCAAGCAGAAAGGCCCCAGCAGAGGGCCAGCCACACCCCCGTAGTGGTAGCCGAGGGCAAAGCCGACCGGGATGCAGAGGTAGAAGGTGGGGCGGCGAGGAATGAGACGAGATGGAGGTGAGTGGGAGGAAGGGAAGCAAAGCAAAGAGTCACCTTTCAGGGGCGGGGGTGCGGCAGTAGCGGTGTACAGCACAAACGGCAGCATGAACAGAGCTTCCAATAAGAACGCTCCCCTCCATCCCAGCAGTGGGCCAGCCACCCCCCCGTAGAGGTAGCCGAGGGCAAAGCCGACCGGGATGCAGAGGTAGAATGTGGCGAGCCATTGGGCTGTCTTTCCCGGTGGGGCGTTGTCGTCTATGAAGGGCGCTGCTAGACTGATGAACGACGCCTCTCCCACCCCCACTAGCCTGTGGGGAGGGGTGAAGGGGAAATCAGACGGAAAGAAAATACTGACACAAAGAGGGAGGCAGGGGGTGTGGCATGGGGCATTGTCGTCAATGAATGACACCTCCCCCTCCAGACTGGGGTGTGTGGGGGAAAGGGAAAAGGGGAGGAACAATGGTGTGAGTAAAGGGGAAGAATTTGAGGAAGATGACTGGTGCCAGCAGGCTTGCAAAGGAGACCTCTCCCATTCCCCACTAGCATGTGGCATGAAAAGCAAAGGGGAAAGGGAAAAGGACAGAAAGGACTGAGGGAAATTCAAAAGTGAGTAGTGGGCAAAAGAGACACTCTAACGAGTCAGAAGACGGGCAGCAGAGCAGGAGGAGGGAGAGCCTACAGCCAGCCATTACGTGCGTCGAAGAAAGCAACCCAAAGGTGGGGGGAAAGCAACCCAAAGGTGGGGGGAAAGCAACCCAAAGGTGGGGGGAAAGCAACCCAAAGGTGGGGGAAACGCAACCCAAAGGTGGGGGGAAAGCAACCCAAAGGTGGGGGGAAAGCAACCCAAAGGTGGGGGGAAAGCAACCCAAAGGTGGGGGGAAAGCAACCCAAAGGTGGGGGGAAAGCAACCCAAAGGTGGGGGGAAAGCAACCCAAAGGTGGGGGGAAAGCAACCCAAAGGTGGGGGGAAAGCAACCCAAAGGTGGGGGGAAAGCAACCCAAAGGTGGGGGGAAAGCAACCCAAAGGTGGGGGGAAAGCAACCCAAAGGTGGGGGGAAAGCAACCCAAAGGTGGGGGGAAAGCAACCCAAAGGTGGGGGGAAACGCAACCCAAAGGTGGGGGGAAAGCAACCCAAAGGTGGGGGGAAAGCAACCCAAAGGTGGGGGGAAAGCAACCCAAAGGTGGGGGGAAAGCAACCCAAAGGTGGGGGGAAAGAAAACTAGTATAGATCAGTCAAGGTGCATTCACATGTAGGATTGACTTTTGACTTTTGAGGGTGAGACGACTTTTGACATGTGGCAAAAGTCCTCAAAAGTCAAAAGTCGTCTCACATGTGGGAGAGGAGGAGAGATAGCAGACCAAGATGGGGAACACGACAGAGAGATGATGGGAAGGGGGAAAAACACACTCACATGCGGGAAAAATAGCAAGCCATGCGACAGCCCACAGCCAGCCACTGCAAGCGTTCAGACGAGTAAGAGGAAGGGGACACGAGGGGAGTGCTTACATGCGGCAGAAGAGCAGCGACAGCAGGCCAGGGGACAGCCCACAGCTGGCGACAGCGAGTGTCCAGACGAGAAGGCCTAGAGCGATAAGGCGGAAGGGGTTGTGGCGCTTGGATGCATGGGCGAAGAGAGAGAAAGGAAGGGGGGAGAGCACTTACATCCGGCAGAGGAGGAGAGACAAAAGGCCAGGGGAGAGCCCACACCCCGCCACTGCGAGCGTCCACACGTGGAGGCCGAGGGCGATTAGGCGAAAGGGGTCGTGGCGCTTGGAGGTATGTGCGAAGAGAGGTGAAGCGGTGAGGAGAGGAGGAAGGAGATGAGGGAGAAACGGGAAAAGAATGCTTACATGCGGCACAGCAGCAGAGAAAGTAGACCCGGAGATAACCCACAGCCGGCCACTGCGAGCGTCCAAACGAGGAGGCCGAGGGCGATGAGACGGAAGGGGTTGTGGCGCTTGGAGGCATGTGCGAAGAGAGGCGATGCGGTGAGGAGCCCCACTAGGAAGGCCGTGGCCAGCAAGCCGTCCTGGAAGTTGGAAAGAGCAAAATCACCCCTGGTTTGGATGGGTTCAGAAGGGTTGGGTGTGGTTAGGTTTGGATGGGTTCAGAAGGGTTGGGTGTGGTAATGTTTTTTTATACACCGATGGATAAGGCCATCAGCCTGTCCTGGAAGCATGGATGCATGGGCGAGGAGAGGCAAGGCAGTGAGGAGCCCCGCTAGGAAGGCCGTGGCTAGCAAGCTGTCCTGGAAGTTGGACAGGTTGAGAGCGGTTGAGTGCGATAAGATTTAGCTATGAACCGATTGGGAGAGTGGAGAGAGGAGGGGAAGGGGGGGGAATATGCACGGATGGGTTTTATTCGAGAAAAAAGGGAACATGCATCGACAAAAAAGAGAGAGCAAAGCGAAGTAAGAAGAGTAACTGTTACGCAGCAAAGAGTTATGTCATAGAGTCATAAAAGGAATAGTAATTGGAGCCGTTGAGAGAAGTACAACTGCGCAGCACTAAGAGCCAATAAGCAGCACAAAGAGCCATTAAGCAGCACCAAGAGCCAATAAGCAGCACTAAGAGCCAATAAGAAGCACTAAGAGCCAATAAGCAACACTAAGAGCCAATAAGCAGCACTAAGAGCCAATAAGCAGCACTAAGAGCCAATAAGCAGCATTAAGAGCCCCTACCACTGACTCACCAACTGCCCCTACCACTCACTGAATGCCGCTGCCAGAGTCACAGACGTCCCCCTGGCAGTGCGATGGAGAGCCGTTGATTCCGTTGCTGGCAATGGCCCCCCGGTCAATGTAGTTGACCATGTTGATGGCGCAGAAGAGGAGGAGAAGGCTGGAGGAAAGGAGTAAGGAAGGGGGTTTAAGAAGAAACAGAAGTATCTGTGATTGGCCCTTTTTGAGTCGACTCAAGAAACAGAAGTATCTGTGATTGGCCCTAAAGCTGGCGATGGCACCTCCCCCGGTCGATATAGTTCACCACGTTGATGGCGCAGAAGAGAAGTAAGATGCTGGGGGGATGTGGGGGGGAATGGACGGGTCACGGGAGGAGAAGGGAGGATGAGAATGGTACACTTGACTCTCGTGCTGCTGGCGGTGGCCCCTCAGTGGATGTAGCTCACCATGTTGATGGCGCAGAAGAGAAAGAGGAGGCTGGGAGAATGGGGGAGGGGAAGGGACGGGAGGACAAGGGAGCATGGGAATGGTAAACTTGACCCTCGTGTTTCTGGTGGCGATGGCACCCCGGTGGATGTAGCTCACCATGTTGATGGCGCAGAAGAGAAGCAAGAGGGAGGGAATGGAGAGCAGATGATTCTCGATATGCTCAGGCAGAGGTGGAATAATGGAATTGACACATGGAAAGTGGCTATTGGTCCCTCGAGATCGCAATAAGCCGCCTCCTACACCAGACCTACTGCTCACGTAAGCAGTGCCACTTTATGACGTTTCAGGTGTTTTTTGAGAATTCTAAAAAATTACCCAGTTGAAGGAAAAATCAGAAGTCCTGAAACGGAACCACTGCACGCGCCAGAAGCGAGGTGGCTTTTGAGGCGACCTGTCCCAGCGAAGTCGCTCGAGAGCCGGACCCACTTCTCACGCCAGCAGCGCAGCAGCAAACGCGGTGATCGCCGCGACCCACCTCTCGGCGCTGCAGCCACGTGGCCGTTGGCGGCCCGCGGGAGAAGCATGATAAACGCCGTCGCCGCCGCCGTCGCCGTCGCCGCGATCGGCGACAGGGTGCGGAACGATTGGGTCCGACTCGTCCATTCCCGACTCGGCTCGGCCCTTAGCAAAGCGCGTCGCGGCTCGGTTCGGCTCGGCGCGGTCCGGCTCGGCTCGGTTCGGCTCGGCTTGGCTCGCCGGGCGCGAAGTGACGGGCTTCGCACGGACTCCACTCAAAACAGGACCTTCTTCGGCAGACTTCTTCTAAGTTTTTAATGAATTTTGACGAGGACGAAGGTCGGGTGACGCGTCGGGGACAGCCACTAAGGGAGCGCGCGCTGACTATGAACGGCTAAGATCCTTGGTGGTGTGAGGAGTCTCTGTGAAAACCGTAGATGCGCTTATCCGAGTTAACCAGCAGCACCGCGAGCTTCCAGGCGAGCGGTAAAGGCGGCAAACTTGGAATACGGAATTTTGGGGTGGCCCCGAGGGGAAGTGGCAGTCTCGTGGCGCCTTAGTGAATGTCAGGTTCAGTGTGATTCATACTAAGAGAAAACTCTATAATGATACAAATAGTTTTCAACACCACACGAAGTATCCAGCTAATTTGCATAACTATTTTTCTTGCATAAGAATGGATAACTTTATATCATATTTGCACCCAATCCAAAAGAAAATGTAAACAGGGTAGTATGGAACAGGCAAAAGCACTAATATGCAAGCTAAGCAAACCAAAATTCAGATATTCATACATAAGCCACCAACTCCCCAATCACACTACCTCCAACCTGTCACTCATTTTCTTCCGCCATATACAGGAAGCATTTATTCAGTTCCTCATAATGTACCCCGCTATTGGCTCCCTTCCATAAACCAGTCTAATGAGACGGTATATGAAGGGAGGGGAACCAAGGAAAGGTGCTGTGCTGGGGATCTACTTGGAGATGCACCATACGTTTTTGCCCAGGTTTCTGATCGAAGAGAAAAAAACAAGATCGGGAGCACTCCAAGCCCACCCGGCCTAATGGTCCCTAAAGCGGGCATAAAGAAATTGCATCACACGGCACTGCAGACCGGCCTAATGGTCTCTGAAGCGAGAGGGGCCGAAGGAAGGCGCGAGGATCTGGAAGAGGCCGTCTGGGTTGTCGGTGTGGACCTGAGGGGGTGGGGAGGGGATGGGGATTTGGAAGAAATTGGGGCTTGCATGGACTTGCAATCACACAGCGTGAGGGACCAAGTTGACTTTTGAGTCGACTCAAAAGTCAGCGTGAGGGACCAAACCAAACGGAGGTGCGAGGATCTGGAAGAGACCGTCCGGGTTGTCAGTGTGGACCTGAGGGATGGGAGATGGGAGTATGAGGGAAGTGAGGGAAGTATGAGGGAAGTGAGGGAGATGGGAGTATGAGGGAAGTGAGGGGAGTATGAGAGAGATGGGAGTATGAGAGAGATGGGAGTATGAGGGAAGTGAGGGAGTGAGGATGCAGAAGTGGGTGTGGGGATGTGACGATTCGGAAGATTGAAAAAGATGGAAGTCATCCAATCAGGCATGCTGGCACTGCACACACCCAGTGCCCAGCGTCTTTCAGCACGTGCATCCGCACAGCAGCCATGCCCCATCCCCTCCTGCTCTGCTCCCACTATCTGCCAGATATCCCATTTCCCACACCAACAAGGCTTCTGAAACGCCTAGAAACCCCTCTGACACGCCTAGGAATGTCCAGGAAGCCCTCTGACATGCCTAAGAACACCTAGGAACCCTTGTCAACCTCACTGCACTCACCCAGTGCCCGGCATCTTCGAGCACGTGCATCCGCACAGCAGCGCCATGCCCCATCGCCTCCTGCTCTGCTCCAACTATCCGCCGAATGTCGTCCCGCGCCCACCGGTGCAGCGACCTTTCCGCTCGCAGGAAGTTGATGTGCATTCCCTCAGGCACGTCCTCTACCAGGTGCCTGGGGGAGTTTGGGTGGGAGGGTAGCAGGTTAGAGTGCATATAGTTATATAGAGTAGACAGCTACTGCACTGCACCGCTGTGAGGAAGTTGATGTGCACTCCCTCTGGCACGTACTCAACTATTTTTGAGGCGCCTCAGAAGTTGATGTGCACTCCCTCTGGCACGTACTCCACTAGATGCCTGGGAAGGGAAGACAGGAGGGGGGGAATAGGTGTCACCGCACAGCACCAAGCAGTGCTCAACCAGAACTGCTCCCGCGCCCACCGGTGCAGCAAGAGCTCTGCTGTGACGAAGTTGATGTGCTGTGAGGCACCTGGTAGAGGACGTGCCATCCCTCTGGCATGCCCTCTACCAGGTGCCTGGAAAGGAGACCTATCTTGTGTTCTAAGACTATAGTGGCTGCCATAGTACCGTTCGTTCAAACCGACGCTGTGTCGTCAATTCTTTATCAAATCGTGCAATCTAAATTGCTAATTGTAGACGACGTGAAGACGCTCCAGATCCAATTTGAATCAAGTCATTTGCAGCTGTGAACAGAACGCTATCAACGTTTGAAGCCGCTGTGCAGAAATCCGTCTGTGCTCTCTATCTTTCGTTTTAGGCACATTCAAGCCGAGCCGCGCCGCCCGAACCGAGCGGCGCCGCCCGAACCGAGCCGCGCCGCCTAGGCAGAGCCGTGCTGCCCTACTGTTCCTACTACTGCAGTTCCTACTACTATTGTCACTGCAACTATGGCTAGTCCTTCTGTGCTAGCTTTCGATGCGGAGGGCCGCCCACTGAAGTTTGAGATCTGGCTCGATGACTTACACCTATTCCTCCAGCTCACTGCCAAGGAGGATATCTCACTGTACGATCACGCGCTAGGCCATGCTACTGCCCCTGCTGCTACAGCTGACAGTACTGCCCGCTCACAGTGGCAGACTCGTGACGCTCACGCTCGCTTCGCTATTCGCAATTCCCTGCCGGTAGATGAACGCGAGCACTTTGGCCAGCACAAAACTGCGCAGGCACTGTACACTGCTGTAGTTGCACGCTACTCCTCACCTGCCTCTGCTGCACTAGGCCGTCTCTCGCTCCCCTACCTGTTCCCAGACCTATCAGCTTTCTCCACAGTCTCTGACCTCATCACGCACCTCCGCACTAGTGAGGCCCGCTTCCGTGCTGCTATGCCCGCTGAGTTTCTTGACAAGAACCCCCCCCCGCTCTGGCTCACTCTCTACCACCTAGTCACTCGCCTCCCTGACACTCTGCGTTCAGTCAGGGACCACTTCCTAGCTCGCTGCCCCACTGAGCTCACCATTGACCTCCTCGAGAAGGAACTGCTTGCAGCCGAGGCTAGCATAGTCGCTGTAGGTGCCTCTCGTGGCGACCCCCGCACCCCTTTCTTCGAGGGGTGTTCCCCTTCCCCCCTCCTCCCCTCTGTCGCCTCTGCTGCTGCTGTCGACCTAGTTGGTACTGAGCAGGTCGGAACTGCGTCCGCTCCGAGCTGGCGCCGCAGCGGCAAGGGCAAAGGGGGCAAGGGAGGTGGAGGTGACGGCGGGGGAGGCGGTGGTGGGGGTGGTGGCGGCGGTGGGGGTGGTGGCGGCAGCGGCGGGGGAGGTGGCAGGGGCGGGGGCGGTGGTGGTGGCGGCGGTGGACGCGGAGGCGGCAGGGGCGGTGGTGGACGGGGTGGCAGCGGCGGAGGTGGTGGTCGTGGAGGCGCTGGCGGTGGCCAGAGCCAGCAGCCGACTCCGTCGCCCCAGGAGCTTCGTGAGTGGTACTCTCAGCACGGGGGGGGGGGGTGGACTTAGCTGCACGTACGTCATCCGCACAGGTGACCGGACGAGAGTCGACAGCTACCTCGACAGGCTCAACCGGGTCTACCTGGGACACACCTGAGGGAGCGGCACCCTGAGGGGGGAGGGGGTCTACCACAGCAGCACCTGGCGCGAGGAAGAGAGGCGGGGGGGGAAGCGGGGCAGTGCGGTAGGGGAAGAGGCGGTAGTAGGGGACGGACTCGTCGAAAGTGACGTCCTGAGAAGGCAGGACACGGCGCGAGGTGGGGTGGTAAAACTGCCAACCAGACGCGTCCGGGACAAAGCCAAGGAAGACACAAGGAACAGCGCGGGAGGAGAGCTTGTCCGCGGACGTATCGCGAACAAAGGCTCGAGATCCCCAGACCCGAAAGCGTGACGCATCGCCAACCTCTCCTGTCCAACACAGTGTCGGCGAAGTCTCCGGAACGGAGACACGGGGCCAGAGGTTGAGCTGATGCGCAGCGTATCGGACTGCAAACGGCCACAGAAAGTGGGGGGCAGCCGCATGGATCAAGGAGGTACGAGCGACCTCCATGACCAAGCCAATGCGGCACTCAGCAACCCCATTCTGCTGTGGAGAGGCCGGAAGCGTGAACGACTGGCGGATGCCGTGCTCCGCACAGTAGGCTGCCAAGAGGTCGGAGGAGAACTCACCACCTCTGTCAGAGTGCAAGCACAGGACAGGAAAGTCCGAGTGGAAACGCTCGCTGAGCTGGAGACGAGAAGCGCTGATCCAAGGGATCAAAACATCAGGGACCTCACCCTTGGTGCGCAAGGGGAAGACCGTGGTGTAGCGTGAGTAGTCGTCAACAACTATCAGGAAGTACCTCTCCTGACCCTGACCACGGACGCGGGCTGGGCCCCACACGTCCATGTGGAGCGTCTGCAAGGGAGCAGTCGTCGGGGGAAACGAGGAGGAGTGAGGAGCGGCGCGCTGCCGCCCCTCGACACAGGGAAGACAGGGAGGAGCAGGCGAGGGTGGGAGGGGAGGGAGAACCCTGGGAAGACCAGAGACAAGGTACCGTTTGTGCATGGCACGAAGGGGCTGCACGGACGGGTGACCAAGTCGGTGGTGCCAGAGGACGGTCTCGTGCGCCAGAGAGCGACACGAGCAGGGGGCCGACAGCTGACCTGACGCAGACGCAGACGCAGCTACCTGAGGGGACTCAGTGGTCAGTGTGTACAGGTCCGACCCCGGCTGCCGAGTGAAGGTAGCCAGGTGACGGCCCGTCCGAGCACACGTGCAGTGTGTCACGCGCTCGTAGGCAGGGGTGAACTGGTGAACACCCCCGTCCTGGAGCGCACAACCCGCCACCAAGTTCGTAGAGAACGAGGGGAGGTGGAGACCTGACAGTGTGCCCGACGGGACCGCAGGACAAGGAAGGACAGTGGAGGAGGTCGCAATGACCGGACCCCCAGAGGGGTCAGCGAGGGAGACAGCAACTGGCCGAGCAAGCGGCTCAAGGGCAGTGCGGTCACGAAAGAAACAGCGAGAAGCACCTGAGTCCAGAGTGAAGGTGTGCAGTGCCTCAGTCGACTCAGTACCAGGGGGCGCAGACTCACGAGCACCTAGAGCAGCAGCCTTACCAGCACCTGGGGTAGCAGACACGCGAGTACCGGGAGTGGTAGCCTCACCAGCACCTAGGGCAACAGACGCACTAGCACCTAGAGCGGCAGCCTCACTCACAGGACACGGCAGCTGCACCTGTCCACTACCAGAAGCTCCCGAACGACGCACTCCAGAGCGACTGCCACTACGGCCACCCCGACAGCCCCAACTGGCGTACCACTCACGAAGCTGCTGGGGCGAGAGAGGACACGGCAGCTGCACCTGTCCACTACCAGAAGCTCCCAACCGACCCACTCCAGAGCGACTACCACTACGGCCACCCCGACAGCCCCAACTAGCGTACCACGCACGAAGCTGCTGGGGCGAAAGAGGACACGGCAGCTGCACCTGTCCACTACCAGAAGCTCCCGACCGACCCACTCCAGAGCGACTACCACTACGGCCACCCCGACAGCCCCAACTAGCGTACCACTCACGAAGCTGCTGGGGCGTGAGGGACTCACGCGCACGGCCCTGGAGCTGCATCTGGCCACGCCAGGAGCAGCAGTAGCAGCAGTAGCGGCAGTAACAGCAGTAACAGCAGGAGCAGTAGCAGTGGGAGTAGAAAAGGCAGTAGCAGCAGTAGCAGCGGTAGCAGTGCTGGCAGGGCAATGCTCACCAGTGGTCGGCGCTGTCAGATTTATATGACATAGCTACTGTAGGCTATAGTGGGGTAGCACATATGGGGTACAGTTTTCTAGGGTTTGCTTCTTGTACCCAACTTTCACTTAGTCATTTCATTCCTCGTTTCTTCTCATGGTATCGAGCAGGTTCCCTAGTGGGAACGATTCCTAGGGCCCACCACCACGAAAATTTTTTTTTTCCCTGCCCGGAGCGCGTTTTGCGCCGGCCCGAGTCGCGCCGCCCTTTCGGCCCGTCGCGCCCGTCGCGCCCGTCGCGCCCGTCGCGCCCGTCGCGCCCATCGCCACCTACCTTCGCGGCCCCGCCACCTACCTCCGCGGCCCCGCCACCTACCTCCGCGGCCCCGCCACCTACCTGTGCGGCCCCGCCACCTACCTTCGCGGCCCCGCCACCTCACTGTGCGGCCCCGCCACCTACCTCCGCGGCCCCGCCACCTACCTGTGCGGCCCCGCCACCTACCTTCGCGGCCCCGCCACCTCACTGTGCGGCCCCGCCACCTACCTCCGCGGCCCCGCCACCTACCTCCGCGGCCCCGCCACCTACCTGTGCGGCCCCGCCACCTACCTGTGTGGCCCCGCCACCTACCTTCGCGGCCCCGCCACCTCACTGTGCGGCCCCGCCACCTACCTCCGCGGCCCCGCCACCTACCTGTGCGGCCCCGCCACCTACCTTCGCGGCCCCGCCACCTCACTGTGCGGCCCCGCCACCTACCTCCGCGGCCCCGCCACCTACCTGTGCGGCCCCGCCACCTACCTTCGCGGCCCCGCCACCTCACTGTGCGGCCCCGCCACCTACCTCCGCGGCCCCGCCACTTACCTTTGCGGCCCCGCCGCCTCCTCCCAGCGGCCCCGGACGCCGCCCTCTCAGCGGCCCCGCCGAGCCGCCCAGCAGCCAAGCCGCCCAACCGCCGAGCCGCCCAGCAGCCGAGCCGCCCAGCAGCCGAGCCGCCGAGCCGCCCAGCCGCCGAGCCGCCCTGTCCGCAGCCGAGCCGCCCAGCAGCTGAGCCGCCCCGCCGCCCAGCCGCCGAGCCGCCGAGCCGCCGAGCCGCCCTGCAGCCGAGCCGCCCGAACCGCCCTGTCCGGTAAGAGCAGCGCCTCTCTCACAGCACTGCCCTCGCCCTACTGTTTGCACTGCTAGTCTACTGCTGTCATGGCTACCCCTAGTGTCCTCGCTTTTGACGCTGAGGGTCGGGCCATTGACTTTGACGTCTGGATAGATGACCTGCAGCTTTTCTTACAGTGCGACAGAGCAGACGGCCTCTCCCTCTTTGACCTCACTTCTGGTG